GGTAGCACAACCCTTGCAATTCGTTGCACGAAAGGGTCATGTTTATCTTCCTCATCTGAATCATCGCTTCTCCCTCGTTTATGCCGTACATATGGACTTCCTTTAGATGAGCTAGATACATCAACACACCCTTTCTTTCTGGGTTCCAGGGATGATGAGTCAGAATCACTGTCATTATCATGTTATTGCAAGCATCATCTACCAGATTAAATCACTCCCAATAGCGGGCCGAATATTCACGAAGAGTTTCCTCCAGTTTAATTTGCATGGCCCAGAGAGAATCGGCTTGCTTCGGCTTGATCTCATTAGTGATGAATCTCGCCCTGAATGATTTTTGGAGTTGGTGGAAGCTCTTAATCGATGCCAGCTCCAGTTTATACTACCACATGACGGCCAATGGTCCCAGACTACTTGGAAATATTCGACACATGAGGGCTTCGTTGTCAGCCTGGAGCGTCATTGCTTGCTTATAATGACGAATGTGATCAGTGGGGTCCGATTTTTTGTCGTAAAGAGTGAACAATGGTGCCTTGAACTTTTTGGGTAGCACAGCCCTTGCAATTCGTCGCACGAAAGGGTCATGTTTATCTTCCTCATCTGAATCATCGCTTCTCCCTCGTTTATGCCGTACATATGGACTTCCTTCAGATGAGCTAGATACATCAACGCACCCTTTCTTTCTGGGTTCCAGGGCTGATGAGTCAGAATCACTGTCATTATCGTGTTTCCGGGGTCGACGTCGTCGACCATCCTTTTTTCCTAAAGATTGACCCCAGTCTTGGCATGAGGCTTACTGAGATTTTGCCACCTCCAAGGCCAAATCCTGGTACAAGCGCTCGTTCTCAGCAATCATGTTCTCCAGCTGCTGCTCATTTTGCTTTGCTTGATCCATAATCGTCTGCATTGTCTCATGCACTGAAGTTGAGGGTGTGGTCTGAGTTACTAAGTCAAAATTTAAGGCCCATCATGCGGCGATGTTTTCCGGTCCAAGCATGTCTCTTGGTGTAGTTTTGTCAGCGACTATCGGAGGATCTTCTGTTACGCCCGCCATGGATGTGCTTGAGTATTCCCATAGACGGCGCTAATTGTGGTGAAGTGGTTTGGAAATACTCTAGGATCCTGAAGGACATTATTGCCACCTGAAAAAGGGATTAACACTCCGGTCTGGGGTGCCGGAATTAGCACTCTGACGGACAAGTTAGTATATGTCTCTCATTTGCTTGTGTCTTAAGTTTCTTGGGTCTATTCTCATATATCTCTCTTTGGTTAATGCTCCTCTCTTTTATATTTTTTCATAATCTCGGGGGTCGAGTCCACTTTCAATCCAACGCACGATTGCTCACTCGGCCATTCGGTCATGTGCCTATTCGTACTCGGCTTAAGGATTTGAGTATTCGGCGTCAGGATTGCCCAAGATGGAGCCGTGGGGGCCGAATAGCGTATATGTCCTGATTTTCTTCAAATTCATTTGGCTTTCCTCCATGAACCGATATTCGGCTCCCATAGTATATATGAGATAAGAGCTCATATAAGCTCATCCTTATCAATTAATAGCTCAAAATATCTAGAGAAAGAGAGAAATAAGAGGAAGAAGAACAACAAGAGGGGATTAAGCTAAATCTTCACCAATTAAACCATCCAACGTAAGATTTATCCTCTAATTTCATGAATCTATGTTGTATTACCCTTGACATCTAGCAAGTTAAGGAGTTTAGTAGTGTGAATTGTTGTTTACAACTCTTATGAGTTCAAAGAGAGAATCGTAAGAAAAAGCTCAAGATCTTGACATACTTGGCATGAGATCATGAAATTCTTGTGCATACATATTTACTTTTTACATGGTTCTTTAATTTGAGAGGAAATCTCCATGGATTTTGAGTTTGGAACCCAAAAGTGCATGTGTTATGATTTTACATTTCAAGTCAAGACTTTGATCTTGTATTTGGAAACTTGAGTTTTGATTTGAAGTTATAATGTTTATTTCAACATGTTTTCAAGAGTTTTGAGCCTTATTTTGTATACAAAGAAGTTGAGATTGCAAAAAGGGAGAAGGTCCATTTTTAGCAGATTTTCGAACTATGTTTCAACCCAGAACACTCGTGCGGCCTGGGCCACCGCACGAGTAGCCAATCCCTTTTTGGTCAAAATAGCATTCTGAAGTTCACCGACTCATTCGGCCAAGGCCACTGCACAAGCAGCCAGGCCACCGTACGTGTGACCAAATAGGGTAGTTTTTCCGATTTTGTTTTCTTTCCATCTTCTGACTTTCGCGCCTTCATTTACATGGTTTTCAATTTACATCCATAAGCATCTCATAAGCATGATAGAAAGTCAAAGAAGCATGAAGGTAACTGAATGAATTAGTAGTGGATAATTGAATAAGGTTAAGAATCAACTGAATGACTCGAATGTGTATTGAGAAATTATGCTCTGAATGTTTGTATTTGTAGGTCAAGACTCAAAGACCGAGCAACCGGTTTTGGAAGCCCACTGTGAGTAACATTTCTGTAAAGATATGTTGATATGAAATATGTTTCAACCGTTATGCAATAAGTTATAATTTATGAATGCTATTTTGATTATATGAACGAATGTCCTATTTGTGAATCTATTATGGCATCCATAGATAGTCCCAAGTCATGGGGGATGACATGTAAATGGGAGTCTATGACATATATGTGATACGAGATCTCGTTAGCCACTTCATTGTGGTGATATGTGTTTAATCGGTATCCGGAACCGATTACTCTAGTCGGAAGACTATATGTGATATGTTCTGTGGGATGTACCATTATGTTATGTTCTGATACGAGACTGACATGAATGATTGTGTCATGATTTGTGTTACGGATGTGATATATTTGGAATTCGTTCACTAACCCCTTTATTTTAATGTTACTCACTGAGTTTTAACTCGCTGTTTATTTATATATGTATAGGTGAGCGTTCTGGAGGACAAGTCTAGAAGAGGTCTTTAGCCGAGCCACCATTTGAAGCCTACTGAGTTATTTTGTGTGCCTCTAAGTTGGGGCTAGGCTGGAAGGTCGGTGTCAAGCTTTTGATTATGATGTACACTTTTGACCCATGCATATGTTTTGTATACAAGATTATGTTGTAAGTTATATATTGTTATGTGGGTAAATTAACGTTATATGTGTACATGTTTATTCATATAGATGCACAACTCATTGGACTATTGGTAATTTTTGTATATTGCTTCCGCTAGCCTCAGTTATTTTTTTTATTGTACAGAAACGCTTTTAGTAATCTCAAATTACTAGCCGATCACTTCACCGACCCCTTACGGGGCAGGGTTCGGGTCATGACAATAATAACCATGACCACTTTGATTCATAACAAAAAGACCATAAAAATTCATAACCAATACTACTTCAGTTTGTAACTAAACATTACAAAGTTGAGAGGGTCAAAATGTATTAGTTCATAGATATGACGGGATAAAGTGATATTCATTAATACTTGATAAGGTCTTAGTGTAATTAACCCTAAAATTAATAACGTAAGATATCTTAAAAAATGAGACTATTATTAAATATATAAATTTAAAAATCAAAAAATAAAAATTTTGCATAATTAAAATGAGATGTAAATACAATTTTTATAAAATTAGTACCACTGAAAAAATATTGACAATATATTCAAAATGAGATTAATATTAAATATATAAATTAAAAAGCTTAAAAATAATAAGTTATATTTTTTGCCAAACTATTTTTTTCTAAAAAAATTAAAAACCAATATATGATTCTATCTTTTCTAGGATGAAAATTATTTTTGAAACTTAAAAAATATTTTTTATGTTTATTTTTTCCAAATAAATTATAAAACATAAATCTTTTATGGAAAATAAGAAAGAAGGAAAAGAGAAAGGGAAGGCAAGAATTGAGGTAATGGTGGTGGCAGCAAGAAAAGGGCTTGAAAAGTCATCAGAGGATAGAGATAGGAGCGGCAGCGATGATGGGAGTAAATAAAGCGGTTGAGAAAGAGTCAAAGGGAGCTAGGGTTGGTGATGATTGAGAAGGTGGCCGCCAAGTAGAGAAGGTGAAGGAGGAAAAGAGGAAAGAAAGAAGTTAGGGCAAAAAACAGATGGGCAACAACGTAATTTTTTACCATGTTTTGCAAAAAAATAGTTTTAACTTCCATATCATATGCAATTATTTTAGATTTCTCCTTATTTTACGGCTATTCATTCTTCATACTATTTTTCTATAATTTTTACTAAAATTTTAGAAGGCAGATCCTCTCTTATCCTTAATTGGACATGAGTCCAATCTAGGCCACTTTGGGCCTACTTTGGGATGGGCTCACCTCGATAATTCAAACTATTCATTTTGTAAAACTCGTCGAGCACATTATTCCTACAAAATTAAATTGATTGGATATCAATAATTACTTGATTAAATCACATTTGTCTATAAAAATTTTTTTTAAAAAAATGTATTGTACGACAACGTAATTTAATGTGTGTCAATGGTTTTTTAATGTATATTTGTATGATTACTAATTATTACCATCATTGCTCGTTCTCTTTTTCTAAACTCTTAAAAATAAGATACAAACAGAAAAGAAATATATAAGGTGTGTATACAGAATGATTTGATTGCATTGTGACTTGCGATTTTAAAACATAATGTCCGTTAAAATGACATTTAACTACCTAAATGTCAACAATCCCATGCCATGATTCTTGAGCAAAATTGAATATGAATTAACATTTTCCTATATATATTTTGATGAACCCATCTCATATATAAAATTAGGATATATATATATATATATAAAAGCATTATACAAAAAGTTTTGCTTCACTTATTGATTACACTACACATGCGGGTCACACATCCCTTGCTTAGATATAGAAAAGTTTGGCATCCAGTTCAAAGTACCTAAAATATTGAGTAAAGATATTGACACCTAATAAACTACGCATCAAAAAAAAAGAAAAAACTATTTTATTCCTAGCAATTCTGTAAAATATTTTACTCTGGCTCCTTCTTCGGTCGAATGATAGCACATTTCACAATAAGGCCACTCTTCCACAGTTCAGCATGATCCTCCAGAGAGAATTCCATTGTTCCAACGTTTTCTGGTGACATTTTAAACTCACCCAACTGGATATCAAACCAACTTCCTAAAGGATTTTCATTTAAACTTTCATTGCGTGTTAGCTTTTTTGAATTTGGAAGAATGATGGTAAGTTTTAATGAGAAATCTTGATGTTTGATCATCCTCACAACAAAAACAATTTCGTAAACTATTCCTGGCGAGAGATCAATTGCCCCATTAAATTGCCCTCTAATATCTAACCAACATACTTGTAATAGGTCAGCCACTTCAATCTCTTCACCACTGCATGCCAAACCAGGTAAACGTTAAAACAGTCCATGTTCATTATAAATAAATAAATAAATCCAGAACCACAAATTTTTGTTTCCTCCACAATTAATATATATATATACAATTTGCCCATTTCATGAACAAATGTTCCTTGAAGAAGTAACTCACAGTTAGGCCCTATTACTTTAGGTCATGCCATTGATCGGTTTCATTGATTAAATGTTAAATAGCCTTAAGTCAACATAGCATAACACGACATGAAGTTCTTAAGCTATACACATTATTTAACTTACCTTGTCTCCTTCAATGTGGTCCATCTCCAATATTGAGGATTGTCATTCCAACAGATATTAAGTTCTCTCGCAAATAGCACAAAGCAGTTCTTGTTTGACTTCTTGTTGACAAAATACTTCTGCAATAGGTAGTAATGACAACACATGCATGGATAGCAATAATTAATGACAATAATGTGAAACCAAAAAAGAAAAAAAAAACAATATCATACATGGGTGGCATATATTTTTGGATTTCATAGTTAAGGTTCAATCCATCACTATGAAATATGAAATCATACTGATTCTGAAATAATAGTGTGACTAGTTCATCTATGAAATGGGCTTTAAGTAGAACTTGCTAGTTTGTTTGTAACGCCCTCAAAATGATAACATTAATCCCATCAAATAAGACATGCGTTGATATGTAAAAGTTCCACATTCTTCCATTTATCAGAATTCCATTACATAAGTATTACATGTTAACAACAAAAGCAAATGCCCTAAGGGCTTACAGCTTTCCAAGTTAACAATTGGTTACAACAAAAGAGTACTAACTCATTTCACATTAAGCCCTTGGCTTGAATTTACAAGTAATACATCAAAAAGTAAAAACGACAAAAGTATGTCCGCCTCTAGCCTCCCAAGCTATGTCCTTGGAGGTGACATGCTACCTGCACCTGAAAATGATATTCCCATAGAGGGTGAACCACAGCCCAGTAGAAATACACTAAACCAACCATGAACAATGACTAAAAGATTAGCAATTGATAGATGGCCAACACTGATTCCATGGTCATTATAAATAAATAAATAAATCCAGAACCACAAATTTTTGTTTCCTGCACAACTAATATATATATATATATACGATTTGCCCATTTCATGAACAAATGTTCCTTGAAGAAGTAACTCAGAGTTAGGCCCTATTGCTTTAGGTCATGCCATTGATCAGTTTCATTGATTAAATGTTAAATAGCCTTAAGTCAACATAGCATAACATGACATGAAGTTCTTAAGCTATACACATTATTTAACTTACCTTGTCTCCTTCAATGTGGTCCATCTCCAATATTGAGGATTGTCATTCCAACAGATATTAAGTTCTCTCGTAAATAGCACAAAGCAGTTCTTGTTTGACTTCTTGTCGACAAAATACTTCTGCAATAGGTAGTAATGACAACACATGCATGGATAGCAATAATTAATGACAATAATGTGAAACCAAAAAAGAAAAAAAAAACAATATCATACATGGGTGGCATATATTTTTGGATTTCATAGTTAAGGTTCAATCCATCACTATGAAATATGAAATCATACTGATTCTGAAATAATAGTGTGACTAGTTCATCTATGAAATGGGCTTTAAGTAGAACTTGCTAGTTTGTTGGCCTTTAAGTATACTCCAGTGTAGAGCTGCTCACACAGCTTGTCAGGGGAAGACGTGTCAATTGATATATTTGCATCTTTCAAAATTGCTAGGAAATTAAGTGGGGGCCTTGTTATTCCTTTTCTTGCTGCAATTTCCTTTGCTTTCCTTGATGAATCTGCCTTGCTGGTTTGTTCACCTTGTTGGATCTCTGAAGTCCCATTACGCACCATCTAGCCACCATCAAAAAGGCAAAAGCAAAATTAAGGAAACAATAGTTATAAAAAAAATAAAAAAAATAAAAAAATAAAAAAAAAAACAACAACAACAACATAATAAAATCTAAATGCTATTTTAGATTTTAAGGGATAGAAAGAAAGAAACAACCACATACATTCACATCTGGTGCACCATCGATTTGCATAGAGAAAGAGGACCTCAAGAAGGGGGCTTTGATGATGGGATTCTCCTTTCTTTTTATAATATTCTCTTCCTCTTCATTTTGTATGGAAGTTTTTTTTTTTTTTTGACATGTCCGAAAGATTTCAGATTCTATCATCAAGCAAATGGGCTGGACCCGGACATTAGTACAAGCAAATTGAAGGCCATGTACACAAAGTGACCTCCGATTTGTTAATGATTCCCTCAGCTAACTACTTTGAATCCTAAGAGGTCGTGTACTTTTTACATGGCTGACAATTTGAAGTGCTTTTTGGTCATTTGAGATACAGATTTTGTACCCTATTATGTTAATCACCAAGTGTCACATTCTATGTTATTAGGCAATACACAAGTATAAATGTAAATGAGTTTCACCATGTAAACCGGTTATAATTTAGTAGGACACCACGTGACAAATGCCTTAGTACCTAAAAATTGCTTGTCTTGTGGACATGACCAAGCCAGGTTGGAGCTAGAATTCTTAACGTAGGGATTATATATATAGAGAGAGAGGGATAGAGACAGAGAGAGATTGGCGGGCATTAAATTATAAAAAATAAAAGGAAGAGATGATACTTCATAGTATTTTAAAGAAACACTTGCATAATATGAGACCCTATAAAAAGTTAAAACTTCTCTATGAAGCGATTTTTTTTCTTCTAAATGATGAAGCTTATCACTGGATTGCAAAACATGTGACATATTGGTATTTTTACTCAATTAAAAAGTTAAAACTTCTTCAAGCTTGCAGTATGAAGTTTTTAAAGTTTATCCCAAGGAGGTGTTGGGGATTATTGATTCCATGAATGTAAACAGAAGCACACTCACACACACACTAAAGACAAAAATATACAGAGATTTACATGATTTGGCACAAACTTGCCTATGTTTGCAGGCAAGAGAAAAAATACAATCATGAGACTAAAAAACACTCAAACTTGACACGAATACCCGAGCACTTAAACAATCTCTATTTCCATGCTCAAGGGAAATTGAGCCCTACCCCCACTCCCAATATTTTTCTCTCCCTTACATCTCTACAAACCCCCTCAAACTCACTTGCAACATAGCAAGAAGACTAACACAAGCACGATTTTCAAAATTGCGTTTACAAAATTTTTGTAAATCACAGTTGAGAAGGTTTTCATGTTGATAATGCATCTAACATCATCCTATCCACTTATGCACATATTAAATAGAATGGCCTAAACTACTAAAATCTCACACTGAAGTCACTATGCAATCCTGAACCCCCTCCCCCAATAGTATGCAAAAACGTTGGTCTAACCCTACTGTCTATAATTGTTTTCTATAATCTTTATATTCCAAATTATAATCATGCTGCCAATTTTCTCAAGGTCCCAAATTTTTACTCTTTGATTTTGGAAGAGCCAAAAAAAAAATCCTCCATATATATCCTAAGGCTCAACATTAATTATAAAAATAAAAACATAGACAAAACCTCCCATTTTGTAATCCATTTGTTGATAGCCATACAAATTGTTTTGTAGCATATAGTATGCAATTGAAGTTAACATTTGGCTTTGACATGGCAAGTCACCATATGAAATGTATTTTTTTTCCCCTTTCTGTTGTTATTATTGAAACTAGAGTGAATGATTTGATTGTGTTGATGTCAGGAGTTGAAAGGTCCTTGATGGCAGATGGTCAAGGAAAAATAACAAGCAATGAAAAAATAAAATATAAAAATAAATAAATCCAATAGCCAAAACTCACAATTCAATATTATTCTTAATATTAAAGGTGTCTTCTAATAACAATAAGCTTAGTATTTATGGGCTACTACAAATATTAAAATAAAAAATAAACTATAAATCCCACGTCTCACAAAAAATGCAATGAATGATGGGTGCTAAATTCACTGCATGCTAAATTCTACTTGCTGATCAACCACATGATTGAATGGAATTCAGTACTCTTTGACCTACTAATGTTTCTGAACATCTTCTTCTGCTTGATCCATATATAATTGGTGTTCTCATCCTTGTTCCTTCTGCAAACAACTGGTTTTGGAAAAAAATTGAAAAAACTACGATACCCAAGAAGGAAAAGAATGTGCAAATGCCTTGTGATCCTTACTTGTAGCTATACATGTTAAAAAAGTAACAGAACTAGCTAGCTCTCACATTTGCTTATTTTTAAGGTCCAACCAGTAAAAAGCTGGAAAAGATAGGCACGACAACCTAGCACCTGAGGACAATTCTTGCGAGAGTGTTCAATTAGGCCTGTTGGTGGACCAGATTCAGATCGAATTTGGCATAATGCAAATCCAATCGATTAGAAAACAATCAAAATCTGAACCAATCCAATTAGGGGTTACAAGAGTGGGTGTGGAGCAGGTTTGGAGAGAAAATCTCAACCGAACCACCAATTGATGATTGAGTTTTGTCACCCACCACCAAACCGCGGTTCACCCAAACCAGCGGGTTAGTAGATTTATTCAAGTGGTTTTGACTCAGTGCTTGGTGGTTCACCTAAAACAACAAAAATGAACAATTTTCCAAAACATGTTCAAAACAATATATTCTATCTATCTATCTATTCTATTATATAAAGCTTACATCGGAAAGGAATTTGGAAAAGAAAAGAGAACACGGTGTGAAATTATATGAAATGTATATTTTCTTCACATGTCACCTACTTTTCATTTTCATTTTCTCTTTCCAAATCCCTTCTCAAATCTCCAACCGTTAGCCTTTGACCCTCTAGATTCCCCATTTATACACTAGAAATATTATACTCTTAATGAAGAAATAATAACATCCATGGTCCCTAGAAAGTAAACTACAGGGAATAAAGCAAGATCAAAGGATAAAAGAGAGGGGAAAGAGGGAAATAAGGCTAAGATCAGAGAGAGAAACACACAAAGAGTGAGATAGGAAGGTAGAGAGACAGTACCTTTACTCTGTCGCTTTGTGCCAATTTTGTTTCACAAACACAAATCTATTATCGGTTCACTGTGATGGCGGATGGCTGGTGGAGCTGGGGACCAAGAGAGGATGGAAAAAGAAGAAAACCCCCCAAAAGAATGCAGAAATTAAATCGTATTTTAAAATTATAAATAGAGTAGCGATTGGTAGCTCGAATTTGAGCCCCCAAATCCCCCGAATTCAAAAAACGACGTCGTTTTTGAATTTTTATTTTTTTTTCAAAAGAAGAAAATCAGAGGAAGAAGGAGAAGAAGAAGAAGAATTGGAGGGGAGGGGCCCAACAAAATCAGGCTAGAGGCGGAGGCGGAGGCGGGGCCGGAGGCGACGGCGGTCGGAGGCGGGGCTGCGACGAGCTACGGCGACAGAGGAGGCGAAGGAGGGGCCCTCTCTGTCCTCTCCATTCCCTCTTCTCTTTCTCTCTTTCTCTCTTTCTCTTCTCTTTCTCTCTTTCGGGCTGTTCGGGGGCGGTGGATTTCGGGGGTAAAATCTTTATCCTTATAAATAATATTAAAAAAGAAAAAAAAAATCAGATTATTGCTATTGTAAAATTCTTGGAAGAAAGACTGGGGCAATTGCTTCCTCTCTTTTTTTTTTTTTTTTTTTTTTTTTTTAAAGTTACTTTGGACTACACTAATTTTAAATCAAATTGAATTTAATTAAATTACTTTTCTTAAAATCATTTAAAGCATTTCATAATATCTGAAAGAAAAATGATATAAAAATTTATTTTTTAGATTCATTTTCTAAATTCAGTGTTGTATCAAAAAAATGATTGGTTCATACTGAATCTACAAAGTGAATTTAATTTTTGAACAAAAATAACAATGCTCTATTTGAAATACCCTATACAAGACTTACTTTGATTTTTCACTCAGAAGACTCACATTGATATAAATTGATAGTTAAGGTGATAGTGATGATGATGATAAGCGTTCAAACACTACAAGAAAAGGGGTTATATAACACGGAAGCATTTGCGACGACACTATTTACCGTCGCCAGTGAATGGATTTTTAGCGATGGCACCACTTCCTCACAAAAAAATAACTTTTTGCGTCGGCAACAACTGCAGTCGCAAATAAGGCGCATTTTTGCGACGGTAATAGGTACCATCGCAAATAATGCACATTTTATATTTTTCTCTCTTCCTAGCTCTCATTGCGCAGCAATTTTATTTTATTTTTATTTATTTATTTATTTATTTTTGCGACGGTAACCACTGCCGTCGCAAATAAAAAATTAGTTAAACACCACCATTTGATTGTTTAAGTATTCGTTCGTGACGGACGGTGAGGCTTCCGT